ATGTATATGTATATCATTGTGAGATTCTGATCTCATAATTATGTGTAAGTTGTTATAATTACAAGATTTTTATCTCGTAATTATGACATATTTTCTTGGCATTATGAGATCAGGAGACTATCTTTCTTCTTTATTTGGTGAATGCAGAGTTCTTCCGGACTTCCATACAACGGAACCACTGAGCGTGAAATGAAAAATGAGCGTGACCGACTTCCGTTGTCCACGGTCCACCGGGCTCATCCTGCAGGTCTTCGGATGACCGCTTTGTCCCCCAGGCTTCACATGATGTGCACCAACTGTAAGAGAAGCTTACCGAAACATTGAAACACAAAACATGAAGAATTATTTTAGGAAATGAACAAAAACATAATCAGTCTATAGTTCAGCAGAGCGTACTAGTCAAACGCAGCCGCTGCACCGGAACTCCGTCTTGTCCTTCAAAATAAAAAAACCTGATAAACAAATAAAAAAAATTAGTTTATTAATTTAATAACGTAATGTATTTCGGAAAGGGACATGCCGTATTGTAAAAATTGACACACTTTGTTTGTGAAACTAACACAATGTATGGATGTAGTCCTGTGCTGTCGACATTTAAGTTTTGAGTTTGAGCTTTATTTTCTCAACCCGAACCGGAAATCATTTGTGTAGCGTTAGCGACAAACAAGTGAGCTTGCTATGTTGGTGATGAGGACGTTTCCCCAAAACGTTTCTGGATAAAATCATCTTATTTATAGTAAGGGTTTACTCTGTGTCCCGTTGGTTGTTTTTATCAGTAGCTTTCACTTGTTGAAGCGTCGCTGAGTTTAAAATGCATCACATTTAGCCATTTCTGAGCTAAGCTAAAGCTAATCCGTAGCCATGCAGGAGGAAGCTAGCCTTTTGAGTGGGTTTTGTTGTTTGACAGGAAACAAGCTGAGTGTGGAGTGAATTAAATCACACACTGTCCTTCAGATGAGGACCAGCGTGTAGCTAAAGACATTTTCTGTGAACATGTAGCTTCATGTGTCTGCTCCTCCATTGTTCCGACCCAATCATCACAGCTCTGTTAGTATCATGGTTTATTCCTGCTAAACTGTGACATCAGTCCTGTACCTTACACTAACACATGATGTGAGGTAAATAAATAAATAAATGAATGAACTGGTCATCTCATTACAGAGCTGCTGAGCCTGACAGACTGTGTTCATTCTAATAATAATAATCAGGCAAAGTTTGGTTCATGAATCACCTTTAAGTGTCAACAACATTAACATGGTTTCACTTTGCTCTCAGCCTGTAGGCCCCCCGACACAGGTGGACCAGGACTGTGGAGCTGGGTACTGGCTGAGGCTGGAGGATGTCTTCAACTCCGTCACTATACTACAACCAAGACAGTGTGACCCGCTTCAAGAAAAGAAAAGCTCGTTTCACTTTCAGTGAAGTCCACGTSTTGCTGGATGAAGTCAGGAAGAACCGTATGATTGTTGTGGGTACGTCAGTCTCTCAGGGCTGGGATTAGTGGGTGAAATGCATTCATGAGCAAAATGTGCTGGGGCCTCACGCAGAAAGGATTGCGCAGCTTTCACACTAAAATGTTGACGTACGGACAAATTTAGAAATGTGCGCCGCACCAAAATATTCAGATGGATAAATCCATGCGTACGCAGGTTCCTGCGCAGCTTTCCTTTACAGTGGGGAGAACAAGTATTTGATACACTGTTGATTTTTCAGGTTTTCCCACTTGCAAAGCTTGTAGATGACTGTAATTTTTATCATAGGTACTCTTCAACTGTGAGTGATGGAATCTAAAACAAAAATCCAGAAAAATACAATGTATGATTTTTAAATAATTTATTTCCATTTTCTTGTGTGAAATAAGTATTTGATCATCTAACAACCAGTAAGACTTTTGGATCTCACAGACATGTTAGT